CAGAAATCAGTTTGGAAATGAAGTACAGAGAAAAAGATAAGGTACTGGTCAGAATGAGCCGATTATACAGTTTAGTATTTCATGACTGAACAAAAGTTCACTGAGAATGATTTGCACAGTCCTGATGCTAACAGGTCCTCTGGTCAGACAGACGATTTGCAAATAGAGTTGCTTGGAAATTTTCCATATGAATGGTTATTTTTAATGGGAAATTCAGCTTTCTGCTGAAAAAATGAGAATCACACTGGGAATATCAAGCAGTAATGAGCAGCTTCAATTGCATTGACCTAAATGGAGCTGAGCTAGAATGTTTCATTTCACTTGAGTTCTTCAGAAGATAACATTGGCTTCCTAGCAGTGAGCTCGGTGCTTAATGGTAGGTGCAGTTTGAGGGCCCAGTCATTTCCATAATCTGGATTTCCCAGAGAACCACAGCAGTTTTTGTATCTCTATTAACATATGCATTTCAAAGGAGCTTAATAAACCAAAATAAACATTTTATTTTGTGTAACAATAAATAATTTAATCTCAGGGTTTGGTTTTTTTTTTTTTTTTTTAAATCATTCTGGTACAAAACCAGAAGTTGAAATGTTATCATCTTCTATAGGGTGAAAATTCTGAAATCTGTTCCTTGTGGCAAAAGGGCCACCATAATGCTGCCTCTCATCTCCTCGTTTAGGTTGGTATCATTCAGAATCTGCTAAAAAAAAAAAATCATAGCTCTGCAGCCCTTGTACAGTTCTCTACATATTTTAGCATGCACTGAAACTTTTAATAGTATTATTAAGACTCTTTATCAACACAGAGACTGTTATAGCTGGGATGGTTAAGGTGGCTAGCCAGCTATGTATTCATTGTGTCCATGTGAATCATTGCCTAATGCAAAGGACTAGGGGGGTTGTTTTTCAGACAAGTTATTAGTCAGGAAAAAAACCTTTATTTTCTCTCATAGTTCTGCCACATGCAGAGCAGTAAGTGGTGATTCTGAAGATATCACTTGGCCTGGAGCTAAGCATAAGTAAACCAAGCAATTATTTAATGCAGCAAAATATGGGACATTAAAACAGCTGCGACCCCACTGCCCGTGTCAGAGTCCAGAAAGACAAGCAGGCTGTTGCCTTTGAAAGGCCAGAGGGCACACAGTCCAGCTGGCACTGGGGTTGAAGAGACAGTGTCCTCAGGGCAGTGGGAAGTTTGGCTCCCCAGGGACCAGCCCTGGGAGCTCTGTCCCACTTTTGCCCCTTCTTCCTCCTCTCCCCTTTCTGTGGCAAGAGGCCAATGCCTGGGCTTGTCCCAACACCACATCCTACTGATGGCAAAAGGCAGTTTTGCCTCCACTGATAAGAAACCTTGAACAAGCCTGAAAAAAAAGGTCTTCACTGTTGCAAAGGAGCTGTGAAGCAGAATATCCTTAAAATGGAAGCGTACACATAAGATTTTTGAACAACACCCTCTGTAGTGTTGCAGCACTTATCTTGCTGACTTGAAGTGGGATGGTATGCAGTCTTTCTTGTTGCAAAGAGCTTGCAGCTTTTTGGCTGAGATTGTCCATGGATGACTATTCAGTTACCCTTGCACAGTCTAAGTAGCACTTAATTCCTTTCAGTCATAAATTATATGCTTCTACTTAACAATAGGACATACCAGCCTCAAACTTCCCTCCCTAAAACCAAATTTAGCAGAGGCATGTAAATGGGACCCAAAAAAGAGTTGGTTCCAGCCTCTGAAATAAATCTGAGAATGAAGAGAGATCTGAGGAAGAAAGTGTTATCCTTTTCCAGCTATGATAGTCATGGCAATGAATTTCCTAAATTAAGTTAGTTCATAAAGTCTTTCATATAGTATTGGATTCTTCAATAAAATAACTGCTTCAGATGCCAGAGTCCATACTTCATATATAATGCCTGTGCTGAAGAGATGTCATTGCCTCTTCTTGTGGCCCAGGGAAAATATACATATCTTCTGCTGGTACCTCTGCCTAGAAGTGCCTTTCTTATGTGTCAGGTCAGTGGATGGGGCTGTGGATTGGTAGATTCACACCAGTGAATTGGTGGAATAGCTCTGACCTTCCCTCCTCCTTGGCTGGCCCCAGTCCACAGCTGACAGTGCTGGGCAGGACAAGGGTGGGATCACAGCTGCTTTGCACTCCTACATTTTGGACCTCTTCCAGAGGTACCACAAATAGGCACTTTTGTCACAGTTCATTCAAATGAATTTGCTTATGTTTCTGTCACTGAGAAACGGGTATGATCAATTTTTCAATGATCAGGACTGCTCAGTGGAATATTTGTAATAATCCTTTAAAAAAAGCTCATGTTATTAGGTAGAGAACATTTTAGACACAAAGTCAGACATGTAAAAGGATTGTATTTCGTAGTCAGAAAGCAAACCAAGAGCAGAAGTTTAAAAAATTATCGTGCTGACATGCCGTGACTACATTTGGCTGCACCCTCTTCTTTGGGCGCTTGTCGTGAGTGGAGTGCTGGTGCCTGTATGTGAGTCATCCAGCAAATATTGCAAATAACATGTTCAGCACTGCCAGATTATAGGTCTAAGGAGAAGCATCCTTGGCATACATACCCACTGAAATGATGAGCATGTGCCCACTATAAACCTGAGTATTGAGTTGTAGAAACAGCCCTCTGGTGTGCACCTCAATCCTGTACTATTAAATATATTCCAAACTTCTTTGTTTCTGTAGCATCCTGCAGGGAGCTTAAAGTTGTTTGTATACAGAAAAGATATTTACAGGTTTGTTCATGACTGTGTTTGAAGCAGCATGTTATTATTTCTGAAAGAATTAAATAATCAGTGACCCAAATTATAGTTTCCCTACATAGAACAGCATCCCCTTCAAATAGGATGCAAAAAACAATGGAGCCTCAGAGGGTATTCATAACAAAGAAATACTATGAGTATACTAGACCGAAATCCATGCTCTTTATGTCATTTCTATGTTCTGTCACAGGCTTCCTGAAAGCTACTGCACAAATCACTTTGGACAATAATTTTCTTGTTATTCAGGTGCCCAATTCTAACTGAAAATGAATTCAGCATCTAAATAAATACTTTTCCATTTTCACTTGTAGCCATTTGCAGCTGTGTCTCTCCTGTCAGTATGACTAAAAGCAATGTTCTGCTGACACCAATGCTGAAAGCTTCTGCTACAACACTGCTGAGGATACTGCAGAACAACAAGGACCAGAATTGATTTTAATATGAATTTGAAGAGAGTGCGAATTTGACTGGCTAACAATATGAAAGACTCTTTTAAAAACAATTATCAAACTGTACATTAAAATAAATGCAGAAATGTCTTTTTCCAAGAGAAGGCATTAGAGCAGATGATGTGAAGGGGCAGAAAATGCAGGGACAATGAAGAAAGATTAGACATCATAACAGCAAACTCCTGTCATTTAACATCATCATATTCTGTCACTGCTTGTTGACTCAGGCAATTTTCCAGCTTTCAGGGTTTCGGTTTACATTCAAGAAGTAAATGTCTGGACTGTTCCAAAAATGACTGCTGAACTGTAGAAGTGGTTGGTCAGATGTTTGATCACTGATGCCATAGTGATCTGTGGTGAATGGCCTTAAAGAGTCACAGACACTTTTTTCCATCACATAATTTGTTGACCTAAGAGTTAAGTTTCTCAGCTTCAGCACCAACTCTCACAGACTATGAATTTCATTATACCTGCCACCAAGGTCATTGGAAAAATCAGATGCAAGACTCATTTGCAGCCATCCAACTTGGCCTGTTCAAATGCCGATAAGGTCACCTTCAGTTAATAAAAGTTGTAGGAAAATCCCATTTTCATCAGCAATTAAAAGCATTCAGAAGTTTTTATAGCCCTGAGTATGCAAGTCTGTGACAACCCAGGATCCTGCAATTTCTGTCTGTTTCTCTCCCTCATGAAATAAAACCCAGATGTATGGAAGTTAGCATTGGTGAAAGGCCCTTTAGGATAATACTGTGTCATCATTTTATTAAAAGGTCAATAAAAAAATCTTATTAAAAAGATAAGTGAAAAAATCCTAAGTGCAATCAGCCGTTCAATATTCACCCCTCAGCAAGATTTGAAAAGGACATTCATGTTTAAGTTTCTTTAATAACCAGTTTCTTCTCCTTGGAAGAAAGTCAATATGCTAACTTTCAGAACTGATCTGTAGGTCAGCTGTTTTGTCTTTTGACTATTAAAGCCTCAGAGAGAAAAAATGGCTTAAGAGTTGATCAAGATGAAATCTGTTTCAAATGAACAGTTTTGAATTGTATAGAATACTTGCATACATTTATGTATTTATATAAATTTATCACAGGAATATGGAAATACAGTTATATTTTTCATATCACTAATTTTGCTGAAGTTAGTACTGGTAAAATGGGGTTTTGGGCCAGGAAGCCTTAGAAATTATGTGTGCTGATGAGTTATGTCTGGTTTTATCTTCCTACTGTACTGTCTCTCCCATGGAGCACTATTGCACAGTGAGGATCGCGAATAGGAAAAAGTTATTGGGTTTTCTCTCATTTAGGATGGAAGGCTAAGCTCTCAGAGCCATGCTGTCCAGCACGACAGACAGGAGTACAGGCAGAAAGGTGGCGGTGGGGAAAAATCTGGTGTTTAGAATTATTTCTGCCAGCACTAGGACCAAATGAGTAAAGCCTGAGGAGCAGTGACTCTGCACTGCGATGCACAAGGGCTGGGCGAGGACCTCCAAAGAGGGTTGTCAGTGAGTAGGAAGGTGCCAGTGGGAACAGGATCGAGAAGGGAGGCTGCACCTGCAGCCAGCTTCAGAGAGGCTGCAGCACAGCTACAGCCTTTGGCTTAGGGCAAGCTCCCTAATGCCGCAGAGCACGGGCCAGGCACTCTCACCTCCCGCTGCAGCCCAGGCAGGGAGGCTTCCTATCCCAGTCAGGCTAATCTTTGAGATGTACTATTTACCAAATCAACAACAAACATTGCTAAGCTTGCTAACCTTCTATACTTTTATCTTTTCAGCAATCTTGACACAGAAGAGCTCTGCGGTAAGTTCCTTTTCAGGCAAGAACATAATCTATGCCTGTGGCAACCCTGTGCAAGTAAACATACCATGATTTTTTTTTTTTTTTCTGTTTAATCTTTGTAACCTAAACAGAAAATAATTTCCATTGGAAGAACCTCTGGAAAAATGCAAGTGGCTCAATCTTTTCAGACTCTATCATCTATTACACACAGAAATTACTCTGGACATATTTTTCCTAATCAATAGTTCACATTCTCTGAGCTTTAAGATCTTCTCTGATGTAAAGATAGGTAGATAACTTTAATCTTATTTCCCTTTCATGTGAGATATTTTTTTCTAGTTATTTTATCACTTCCAGAGATGTGAGTGCTTTGACAATTTTCCAAGAGATTATTATATTAGTACCCCACTGGACAAAAATTCATTACTTTCCTCCAACTTGAGTCAGTGAGAACAGCAGTTTGACAAGTTCTATTATCCTTCATCACAAACAACTCCTGCAAGGCCTAGAATTTGGCCCAGTTACCCCTTTCTATATCACACTCTGGGATGTGAGTCATCTCCCCAAAAGAGTTTGCTCTCCAGCTAACCTTATGGGACCTGATTTAGGAGTGCTGCTTGCAGCAGAAAACAATTCACAGAAAATGTCTGCAAGTCTTCCTGTAAAACATTAAAAAAATAGTTATATTTGTCAAAACAAGCCTATTTCTGAGGGGAAAAATGGTTGCCTGATAAATTTTCCAACAGCCAACAATCAAGGACCTATAAAAGTCAAAAATACTATCAAGTTGAATACCAACTCACTTACTCACCCACAGAATAACTCTATCCACAGCCAGGAACCCACTGAGAAGCACCTCAGCCTGTGGCTTATAAATGTGACAAGAGACTCAGCTGAAGTGAATTGGTGGTTAAGCACCTGGTCCAAATTATATAAAACTGGTCAAGGAAAACAGGTGGTTTTGTTCCACAAGGGATTTACTGCTGTTGAAGTTTCATTGGAGTTTGCTCAGCACCTGACCCCACTAGCTGCCTCAGGCTGGCCAGAGAGCTAAGGGGGGTGTCAGCCTGGCACTTGCTCTGTTTTCCATCTGGTTTGGTTAAATATGGGCTTCTTCAGCTGCCTTTTGAATCTTTCTTAGGTTGCCACAAGGGTGTTTCTCATCTGTGAATCTAGTACTGAGTTTACTCAGCACATGTTTAAGCTAGTGATTATATAGCTCTTTCTGTGGTGTCTCAGTTGTCATCAGAAATGAAGCTTCACTTCCAGGATACTAATTCACAGTACATTTTCATTCTAAAGCATTTTATTCAACCTCTCAGCAATACCAGGTTATATTGCAATGTTCCCGAAACCTCATGCTTTCATGACTCCTTTGAGAAGCTCATGCTGACCTCTTAAAAGCCTCAAAATATTACTATTCATTATTTCAAAAGCTCCTATCTAATCTTGTTCTTCCCGTTTGCCATTTAGATGTTTTTCATGCTCTTCCAGGTCATCTGATGTTTAAATGCCTTAACACAGTCTCTAGCTTTAACATCATCTTCCTTTCTTTCTCACGCTTTTTCTTTCCTGTGCCTCCCTTCACTGTATTTTATTGCATCAACCAAATGGGAACTTGGGTCATGATTTCCCAGGTTTGCCTCTTTCTCTCACTGTAATCCCTCTGATTGAGTTATGCCCCCTGATTTTATATCAGCTTCATGTTAAAATGCCCTTTGCTTTGAACAGATATGCAAGGACATCCTGCAATTTATATTATTTCCATGATTTTTGATGAAAATATTTTGCATGCATCGTGTTTGTTAAAAATATAACCACACTACCTGGGACTAGAAGCTTATCTGGCCAACTCATTGTCTGTTTTTTGTTCAGAGAGAAGCAACCAGTCTCAGCTGACCCCAACTCACAACAGCCCCCACTTGACCTTACTCATATAGGGGCTTTACCAGAATTATTCATTTTTGTATCAATATAATCAGATTTAGTAGATATACACATGAAAACATTACTTCCTGCTAGTAGCTGTAGACTATTAGACTGAAAATCCAGTTTAGAAAGAACATGTAGACATTTAGTAAATACTGGTTTCAGCTCTCAAACAGACATTTTAAATTTTTGTCAATTTGGCAACTCATTTATTGAAATAAAATGTTTTGAAACACTGATTTTGTTATTTTTAAGTACTCCAGGAATGATTTTGAGGGAAAATAATACAAAATTTAAAAAGAAAATCAACTTTTTCATTGTAACTCTTGTTCATTTCATATATTCAGATAATTAATAATACCATAACTGAATTCAGACTTGATAAAATTTATATTTAATGAAATATTGATTTTTCAGGTCATTAATAGGTGACATGGGTTTTCTTCTTCTTTTAGAATATTTTTCCCAGCACTTAGGAGAGTATGAAAACGTTTTATCTGTCTTGGAAGACTTAAACATAACCATATTGAAGGCAATGGACAAAACAAAGAAAGTAAGTAAAAATTGTGAAATCTTCTTTACCTTGTATGTTTTGTTTATTTGAACATGTATCCAGTATTTTTCTTATCTAGATAAAGTTACTAATTCATATTTAAGATCTTCCACATATACATGTTTGTAGCAAAGGTCTGTAGGAAAATGATTGTCAAAATGATTGAGTATCAAAGCTGTAAAGCTCTGTCTGCAAAGTACTACAGTTTGGATATAACCACAATTGTCTTTCCCAATGATCTGAAGAATGTTCTTCATATTGTTGTACTGAGAGCGGGTTTCATGTCCTGTGCCAAATGTGGGTAAGTATTGTCAGTATTTTTGGAAATTTGGAAATAGTCTGAATTAAAAAAAAAAAAAATCAAGTTTTTTAAGTAGAAAACATGTTAATATAAAGATGCTAAGGACTTAAACTATATTAATGACTAACATTAAATTAGGTAGGCAAGAGTCATCTGGAGACATACCGGGGAGCTGTATTTATGTTATTGTTAAATGTAGATTCCAGGATAGTTTAAGAAGATTGAAAAGGGCTATAATAGCTCTCCCTGTGTTCCCTGAAGCTGAACCCCAATACCCTCATGTATATAAAACTATCCTTTAGGCAGCAGCTGTGTGTCCTAAAACACAACTGACCAATGTAAAACACTTGAAAGTATTTCTGATAGTAACAACAGAAGACGTAGAAATTCGGGTTGAGTGAAACCTCCTGACCAAGAACAAGATTTCATTTCCATTTTAGGCATTTTAAACAAAAGCAGAATTCAGACTCTGAGGTGTTAGGGCTGTTGCCCACCAGCGCAGCAAGAGCACATTCACCCGGAGGAAGGAGATGTTTCTCAGGCGGAGAAGCTCAGTTTCTCCATCCGTCTGTCTGACGGGGGATGTAGCTGTGCTGCAGGACATGCTAGGTGGCCAATTCACTTGGCACCCAATTCATTATGGTCATACCCGCTCGTATGTTCAGATCTGCTTGTTCATACCACATCCCAGCTAGATGTCTGATCAAAAAATGCATCAAGACATTGGGTAATATGCTTCTTTTCCCTGGCTAAACAGTTAAATATTCTGTGCAAGGTGGAACAGCTTCAAAAGGGGAGGGAAAGCACAAACCAGGGAAGGAAGTGAACCAACATCCTCCAAACCTGGCCCTAGACCTCCACCACAAGATTACTCACTTGAAGGCGAGCTGTCAAGAACAGAAATATCAGCCAAAAGTATTCAGTGAGTTCCTGTGGGGTGAAAAAAAAATACAACCCAACAACTGTTTTTTTCAGTCAATCAATGGAGAGATCAATGGGGAGAAAGCTGTGCTTCTGTAGCAAAGCTGTTATCTTTTGGCATTCGGGTGTTTGCAAGAGTGTAGTACTCATACATTTTACATAAACTGCCAAAATGAAAACGCAAAAGTGTAGCTTATTTATTTGGAGCTTGAGCCAGTAAGCTGAATGTCTCTCCAGCCATGCTGTGCATCTCCCATTCCTAATGAAGTGAATGTGCACTGACTCACAGCCTCATTGAGCTGGACACTAAAAAGCAACAGATCAGTTTATTCTATCTATGCATAATGTTTTTTAAAAATGAGCCCTGTGTATAAACTACTGCTGAAGGGCAGGACGTCATCTGATGACTACTGAAAGTAAATAGAAGATGGCATTTAAGAATTACTTCAGAAGTTAATTACAAGGAGGAGTCCCAGTAGACCAATCCAAGTCGTAAGAAGTAATTATTAGCTTGATTAGAAAAATGGATAAGAAAATCTGTAATAATAATAAGGGTTAATTTGTCTGCTTGAAGAGCTCATTTAAAAAATAACCAAACCACAGTTTCTTTGAATTTTCCTTTCCTGGTTGAAGCTTCAAGATTAATGGGTTTTTTCTCTTTCAGGAATATTCCAAATGACTATTCATTAGAGATGGTAGAACTAGAGCAAGGCTGACACTGGAAAAAATATTTTTAATTCCAATTAGTAGAAACAAGAGTGTGAACATCATTGAGTGCATGCCACTTCAGGAAGGCAGCTCATTCAGTCTTAAATATTTTTGGGGAAAAATTAACAACTTGGTACTTCATTCATTTTATTTATCCAGTTTAGAGACAAATAAACAAACACAACTCAGTCCTTCCTATAGAAAATCCCTGCTTCCCTACCAATTCAGGTAGCCTGTACTCAATAGGTACTTTGCACATGTCATGGTTTAGGCCTGGTTGGCAGCCAACCACAATGCAGCAGCTCTCTCTCCCTTCCCCTCCGGCAATGAGAAGGGACAGAGAGCCAGGCTTGGGGTTCGAGATAGGACTGGGATGGGGAAAAGTTCCCCTTTATGATCACGAGCAAGAGGCAGACTCGTTAGGGGAAGAAAAAAAGAACATACATTTATTACAGACACTAACAACACATAACAGAGTAGGACAGTGAGAAGCATTGCCACATCTTGAGAACACCTTCCCCCCACCCCTCCCTTCTTCCCAGGCTCAGCTCTGCTCCCGATATCTCTACCTCCTCCCCCAGTGGCGCAGAGGCAGGGAATGGGGGGTGCAGTCAGTGCTGCCACTTCCCTCATCTTCGGTGAGGGGAGTGTCCGGAACTTGTTCCCCCCTGCTCCATCGTGGTCCCCCTCTCACAGGAGACAGTCCTCCACAAACTTTCTCCAACATGAATTCCTCCCATGGGCCGCAGCGTTCCCCACACTGCTCCGTCATGGGTCACTAACTTCCTCCGACTGGATTCTCTCCCACGGCTGCAGCCCTTCCCGAGCTGCTCCGGCTTGGGACTCCCCCGCATGCTGCAATCCTCCCAGCACTGAATTACAGCAGCGGGGCTACCTTTTTCCATGAGACCCCGGCCTTCTTCGGGCACAGAACCTTGATCAGTCGAGCAGGAGCAACAGGCCACACATCAATGTCTGCTCCACCGCAGATCTTCATGGGTGGCAGGGGGGGGCCGCCCTGCCGTCTCACCACAGGATACAGGGGGGTCTCTGCTCCGGCACACCTCCCCCCTCCTTTCTTCCTCCGTTCCTCCACTGACCTTGGTGTTCATGCAGCTGCAGCAACTCCTCCTCACAAGTCCCACTGCCCGTCACCACGTCCCTTCTTAAATACGTTATTGCAGAGGAGCAGCTGATTGGCTCAATTTCCCAAACAGAAGTGGAGCTGACTTAGAGCTGGGGGAGCTTCGAGAAGCTTCTCACAGGGGGCCACCCCGATAGCCCCCTCCCCTGCCACCAAAAAACCCCACCATTCACTCAACCCAGGACAGCACGAGAGGCAGCTGTGGAATTGGAGACCTAGAAAAATTGTTCAGCTTTAGTTTCCAAGGAAACCCTGGAGAAGGAAGATGTGTCAGTCTTCAATGAAAAGCTGAACAGTGAATCAGCATGTCTGAAAAATATAAAAACCTAATCTATAAACCCTCCTTATTCCAGATATAGACAGAACTAGAGATTAAAACCCCCTAAAACGTAGAGTTTAATAGACTTTTCTTTACTTTTTGGCATATGTTAATGTAAGTTTGATAACACCAAAGTGTGTGGCATTATTTGACTCCTAAGTGCAAGTCCAGTACACAAGTGTGCCCCAAGTAGATTTTGCACATATCTTGTTCTTTTAATTCATGATCAGTTTTGAAAATAACATGCATTAATGAATAAATACCTTGGATTTTACTTGCAAATGTTCCTAACCTGTTCAGCCTTTAGTCAGAAAGATCTCCTACCAAGAGCAACTGGAGTTTGATTTGGCTGCAGACTCCTGGATTTGAACCAAGGTCAACAATGGTGTCCTCGTCACTCCGAATTATTTCCATGTGTAAATATTTTTAACCCAACATATTAGCAGATAAACTGACTCCTGCAAGGTAATTGTAGCATAATTTCTGTGTACTTTATTGCCCTCTGTGGCTTGAAAGGGTTGTCAGCACAGCTTGCTTGAAGTGAGCTTTTCTCCAGTCTTCCAGTCTTGTGCTATCTGAAAGTGAAAATATCAAGTCACCTACTGGAGTAAATATTCCCGTGTGTTAGCAGGTTCAAGAAACTTTGAAACCAGACTTCCTTTCGCCATTCTGGGGACAGATCCCTCAAGCCTAACCAAGCTAAATAGTACCTGGGAAAAGGGGAAACTCTTGGTGGCGTAGGAGTGGTCCATGCTCCGTCGCTTGAAGAGAAGGGTGCTAAGCTAAAAATGCAGATAATTAGATATAGCAAAGGCTATCTTTCAGCAGGGAAAAGACTGAGTTGTATTTACAAACAACATACTCTTAATACAAAAGACATCTTACCAAAGGATGCTGGGGAAGCTACAGCCCTTCTGTTTTGATGCTGGTCTCTTGTGTTTTATCCTTACACAAGGAAGGAAAACATTTATCTGAGGATTTTTAGAGGGACCTGTGGCATTTGATGTTTGATAACTTCTCTCTGTAGGATGGAGAGTCTGCATGAGCTGCTTTTACAGCAGTGGTGAGGACAGATTAATCATTGGTGTCAGTTGTTTTTCTTGTACCTGCCAGGTTGATATTTTCCTGATCAAAGTACAAGCTGGGATAGTTCTGTTTATCATGTTTCTTCTTCATCTTATGTACAGGAAACATTAAAAATTAAAGACTCAACTAAAGTACAAATGCATTGGAAGGCTTGTTTCTCTAAACCTTTTTTTTCTGACATTTTTTATAACAAAACACAGAAGCATATTTAATTAAAATATTTAATGTTAACTTTTTTTATTACCCAAATAAGCATAACATTTTCAGCAAGATGCATTTTTTTTACATTCCGTAGCTTGCAGTCACATATAAATACAACAAAGAGAAACAGTGCAACCTGCAGCACAGAAAATAAAATCTGTCACTGAGTAATGATGTAGATAGATAAAAATAGACTAGTTTTTTTAAGGTGCTTGACATCTTGCTTCTATTGACTTGTGAATATTGAAAATCAGAAACTTACAGACTAAAGAACGTGTCTTCCTTAAGTTATCAAGCCATAAAATTGTTGTTATTCAGTA